TCCATTACTTTATGTATTTAACACATTACTCTTGGGTTGCATGAATACATTATACTTTATGTATTTAACACATTACTCTTTGGTTGCCTCAATCCATTATACTTTATGTATTTAATACATTACTCTTGGGTTTCCTGAATACATTATACTTTATGTATTTAACACATTACTCTTGGGTTGCCTGAATCCATTATACTTTATGTATTTAATACATTACTCTTGGGTTTCCTGAATACATTATACTTTATGTATTTAACACATGAAACTCAAACAATAATTGTAAAAAAAAAGTAATTACGATTTTTCATTGTAATGCATCATTAGAGAATGTGTTGGAAAAACATAAAACAAAAAGGCTACTTCCAGAAATACACTGTACCACCAACATTAAATAAACAGGAAATACAAACTCACTTTTCTTTTGAAGAGAGTAATGAAGTGATTGTTCCTAAACAGTACACACAGTTCGTCATCTTTAAGTGTTGAGGTTAATTCACACAAACCATGATAAGTGAGCTGTGAAGCAGTCTTCCCAAGGAAACTTTCAGCAAGCAATGCTAATAAAGAAAATTAAAGGATCTTTAAAAAGATACTATTGTCTGGAAAATAAGCAACATTTCTAAAAACAAACTACACCTTATTTTGTACTTTTGTTGTAAAGAATTTAATGCATATTGTGGAATTGCAGATATTCTTAAAAAAAAAATACTAATTTTTGTGGAGTCGCATAAAACATTATTTTAATCCTTTCAAAAATTACAGCTTAGCCTTTTTATCTTTTTTCTTAAAGTAACTCTTATGAAACACACTGAACCATGCACGTCTGCTGTATGGTTCCAACTGTCCCTTTATGGTATAGAATACTTTGAATGTTTTCAATCAACAAATTTTAAAAATATTTCTACATAAGTCAAACCTATACGTGTTATTTACCTTTTTATTCTACAATAATACGACTCAAGTGAGCTTTTTTTATGTCACTTTTAAATGTTCTCAGACATCACAAATAAATAACTTTCTTTACTGGAGCTAATTAATAATTAATAAACAGTTTCAGAACTAAGGTTCAAATCTAATTACTTACAGCTTTATGTATTATCTGGGGAAAAGCTTAAAGTTAATGATGTTAGGAAATAAAGTATAATATTATTATTATTTAGCTAATTTTTCCAAGAAAGAGAGAAGAAACAAGAAGACAAATTAATGCTTTGTTAGTTACTTGGTGTAACAAAACTTCTTGTACAAGCATAAAATAAACTTCTTCACACAAGTTGCTTTAGTAACCAGGGTGGATCATACCTCGACCGTATCTTCTTATTTAGATATAACAAAGTCTATATCAGAATTAGACTTTTGTACCTTCTGTTACTACTTCATCTCGATCAGATGCTTTGTTGTTGATGATGTTCTCTACCAACTGGTTGTAGCTACAGTTTCCTATTGCTGCTTGAACTTCGGGTGATTGGGGATCGACCAACCAGCCGTGGTAGAGTGGAATGTGGAGGAGATCGAACACAATCAGCTCAGGTGTGTATTCAAAATGATCCACACTACAATCACATGAAACGTGTCAAAGTAACTCATTCACAACACCTAAAACTATAACACACTGGTACTATTTAATTATTAATTATAGATAACAAAATCATCCACACTACAATCACATGAAACGTGTCAAAGTAACTCATTCACAACACCTAAAACTATAACACACTGGTACTAGTCAATTATTAATTATAGATAACAAAATGAACCATACTACAATCACATGAAACGTGTCAAAGTAACTCATTCATAACACCTAAAACTATAACACACTGGTACTATTTAATTATTACCAGTGTGTTATAGTTTTAGGTGTTGTGAATGAGTTACTTTGACACGTTTCATGTGATTGTAGTGTGGATCATTTTGTTATCTCTATTCAATTATTAATTATACATAACAAAATGATCCACACTACAATCACATGAAACGTGTCAAAGTAACTCATTCATAACACCTAAAACTATAACACACTGGTACTATTTAATTATTAATTATACATAACAAAATGATCCACACTACAATCACATGAAATGTGTCAAACTAACTCATTCATAACACCTAAAACTATAACACACTGGTACTATTTAATTATTAATTAT